TATGTTGTTGTTTATTTGCATGGCGTTCGAGCTGTGGTTCACGAATATGAAATTGAATTAGATACGTTTTTAGAGGAGTTTCCGCTGAACACAACAGTATTTAATATGTCTGGGTTATTCTCAGGGTTAGTGAGCTATGAGTGAAAATGTAATGCACAAGGGGGCGAGTCCCCGGTACCGGGGACTCTCGGGCTTAAGAGGTTATTTAGCAACTTCTTCACCTCTGCCTTACCCGGAACGATTTCACTTTCAATGCCCACCATTTCCTACAGATTCATGGCACGGCTATGGGGAAGAAGTTTTTCCAAAATTTACACATAGACCATGGAAGTCTTTACTACCGGTTCTTGGATGACATCTTCGGGGTCTGGACACACGGGGAGGAAGCCTTCAGCGCCTTTTTGGATATAGCTAATTCCCACCATACAACCATCACCTTCAAATCACAGTTTCATCCATCCTTCATCCATTTCCTGGACACTTCAATATTCTTTCAATCCACCCCTCCATCTAAGACAATCCTGAGCAAAGTTTACTTCAAGCCGACCGACACTCACAACCTCCTGCGTAAAAAAAGTTTTCATCCAAAACACACATTCTCCTCAGTAATAAAATCTCAAATCATCCGATTCCACCGCATCTGCTCCCTGGAGGAACACCTCCAGGAAGCCATCAGTACTCTATTTCAGGCGCTCTGACCGAGGGGCTATTCAAAGAGATTTCTCCGGACGATCAAGTCCAACACCCTCACGGCGCTGTGGGAGTCCGCCCCTGTGGTTGGGACGGGCCCCGAGGAGGTCATCCCCATTCCCTTCATTTCCACCTTCAATTCGACCACTATAAACCTCAACCGATCATTACGCCAGCACTTTTCTCACACACAATCCACCCACCTTCCTCTGTCCAAATTTAGACCGCTTGCCTCTTACCGGAGGAATCCCAATCTCCGGGATCTTCTGGTGAGGGCGGCGGTCTCGGCCAGGCGGCGGGGGGCCCCTCTTGTGGAACAATATTATAATCAACCGGATATGCTGTGGACGGACTCCGGTGCTTTTTCCCTTCCTTCTGGAGCTAATCTTCACACACGCAACATGGTTTACATCCTTACATGCACACACTGCCTACAACATTACATCAGGGAGACACAACACACACTCCACCAGCGTCTTAAACAGCATCTGTACAATATCCGGCATCAGCACTTGGACACTCCCCTGATAAACCACTTCTCACTTATTCCAATAACTTATCTTAAAGCGGGAGTGCTGGAGGAATGCCTAACCTGGTCGACGGAGCAACGGAGGAGGCGGGAGAGGGTCTGGATTATGCCAGTCCGGACCCTCTACCCGCATGGTTTCAACATTAAGTGAGCCCCTTGGGGGGGGGAATTCGAGGTTCTTTCACCAGCCACCACCTACATCTGGGCTGAAGGGGCTGCCTGACCCTTGGGGGGGACAGACCGGCTACCCCGAAACGGGCACTTACACCTGTGTGATTCTTTTGTTGATTTTAATGTATAGTTTCTAATTTTTTCTCCTTCTTTTTGTTTTTGTTTTTTCTTATTTTGCCGTGAGTTGGAGTGGCACCCCTAGCCCTTAGCACTTTCCCGGTCTGGCCTCTTCCCGGTTGGGGAGCACCTATAGAGTTTTTACTCAGGGGCCCTGGACTCCTCCTCCCTCCAGACTGACATCACCTCCGATCGGCCACGGGGAACTTCCCCCAGCACTCCCCTCGACTACACATTAACACATAGGTCTACACCAGAGGGGAGGATCTCACCTTTAAGGGGGCCTGTTCAATTCATGACTGGCCAGAGTCACGCAAGATTCAATGAATACCCTAAACCTACACCTAACCCTAACCTTAAATCCTAATCCCTAAAACCTAACCCTAACCCCAACCCTAACCCTAACCCTAACTTTAAATCCTAATCCCTAAAACCTAACCCTAACCCCAACTCTAAACCTAACCCCTAACCCTAACCTTAAATCCTAATCCCTAAAACCTAACCCTAACCCAAACCCAAACCTTAATCTAATCCAGCCAGTGCCGCCTGGAACCGCTCCCGATCCTTCTCTGGAAACACAGACTGGTAAACATTAAAATTCCCCCCCCCCCCCCTTTTTACAGATTAAATTTTTTACAAAAATTACAGATTCGACACAACTTTAATAAAGATATTAAAAATAATTATAGGATAAACTATAAAACATGATATAAGTGAGATTTTAC